ATGTAAGCTCTCACGACAGTCAACATGAAAATTCAACATCACTAAAAAAATTGTTCAAGAGCTCGCTAGGGCTAAGAAAAGAAACCAGAAAAACCGAAACCTTTGGCTGAGATTCTATTTATTGCTAGTAATCAGGGCCATGCCTGGCCAGCGTGCAGTGCGTGCACACAAAAAGCGGCCGTAATAAAAAGCGGTCGCATTGAAAGTCCACTGAATTAAAAGGCGGCCAAACTAAAAGTCCGCTGAATTCATTCGGGGCCGTATTGAAAATCCGCTAAAGTTAAAAGACAACCGTTGTAAAATCGAATCAAAAAGCGGCTAATGAAAGTTTCGTTTCCAAATCATTAATAAGTGTATAAACTTGATGTAAGTGGCAACTTTGCCTTAAAGCAAGATGCATGATTTTTTCAACATGTGTAAATAATCGACTTAACTATAAAAAAATTATTATATATATATATATATATATATATATATATATATCATGAGTGCATTGCAATGTGAAAAGCTATCGCAGATTATTCAATTTTGCAGAAATTTTCTAAACATATGTTTAGAAAATTTGTGCAAAATTGATAACTAAAATATGTTAGTTATCTTTTATGAATGGTTTAAAAATTAAATATTATTGAATAAGAAATAAACGTAATTGAGAAACGACTCGATCGATCATTGACAAAAACTAATCAGCACGACTCTCAAATAGTAATTTTGTAATGGTTTTTGAATTTTCAAAATCGATTCACAAATTTAGGCTATAACGTGGACGAAAAATTTGACACTTTTGACAATTCTAAAAAAAAACGGCTCGTGAGGCAAAATTAACCAGCATGAGTGCTTATCGAATTTCATCGAGTTTTCAAAAAGGATTGCGCATTTCTAAGGAAACGTCCATGAAATTTTGCCTCACGTAAAAAAGTGCTGCTCATTTTTTCAAACTTTGATAATATTTTGAAAATTAAAACGACTTGTCGTAGGGTCGAAATATTTAATTATATTTGAGATCGTGATCTCTATCGCCATAAAAGTTTTATAAATATCATCGTAAAAAAATATTTAACAATTAAATACGATAAAACGATCCGACCGATCTCTTAAAACTAATCAGCACGATTCCCAAATGATATCTTTCAAACAGTTTCTGAATGTTTAAAAACGATGCAGGATTTTTAGCTAAAATGTGTACGAAAATTTGTACACTTTTCTGTTGATTAGAAACGACTTGGAGCAATATTGTACAAAACTGACAGATGGTAGTCGTTATCTCAAGACGGATGGTAGTAGTTACATCAAATGACTTTTAAATTTTTGAAATCGATTTAACCGTTTTTCAAAAATCGGCTCATGTACACACTTTTTTTCCAAATTTGTTCTCAAACTATTCACAATGACTAGAAACATAGAGAAAACATAAAACTTACAAGTCGATTTTTTTGTGAGAACATATTTGATATTTTCCTATTACATATGTTATTTTCAAGGGCGGCCAAAAAATGCTCGCACGCAGGCGGCCACATACCCAGGCACGGCCCTGCTAGTAATAGACCTTCTAACATAGTGAAATGTAAATTCATTTCGCTTCATAATGTTTAATCATAGATAAGTGTTTTATCATACTTTTTAGATAAAATATAAATATGAATATAAAATATAAATTTCACTTGTTTTTACTTATTATCCATCTCGTTTAAATTTGAAATTTTACATGCAAATTAAAACACATGGTATTAAATATTTGATTAACAGCTTAATTTTTTCATCTTGGATTTGCTATAAAAAACAATTGCGGTTTCAATATTGTTTATCTCTCCCTCGGTATGATTTGAAACTTTGCACAAATATACCTAATTGCACCTAATATAGCCCCATCTTATTTTGTTAATCTGATTAATTTTTTTTCTTTGTATGAATTTCTCCACTTCAGTTCTATGGTTTCATCTTGCAAAATTGTGTGTTCTTTTTCGATTTTTTCAATAAATTCGGGAGTTAATTTTACCAGTACTGCAAAATTTTTAATTAATCGATAATTTTCTATAACGGTCCGTGCAGCTTGAATGAATCTGAAATTGAGTATGTTTTTTTTTATAAAATTATGCTCAAATGATTATACAGAATCTGGTATTATTTTTCAAAAACAAGATCTGAATCAAAACCTTAACTTAACTCGACGGGAATTTTTCAAATGGAGGTAAAATATTTAAAAATCTGCGAAATTGCCATTACATATTTTAAATATCATTTATCTACGATAAACTTCTAATTTTATTATAATGTAAAATTAAAGTTGTACTAGCTTATAATCTTATTTGTATTGATTGCGATTTTTTCATTTAAAAAAAAATATTGCGGCAGTAAGTATATATTATACAAGTTTAACATGTTGAAGTAATAGAAACAGATAATAAAGTTTCATCACATATTTTAGATAAATTTTATCTTTGTTGTGACTTGCCTGAAACAGATATATGTGTCTATTTTGTTTAACTATTAAACTGCCGGATAATTTTTTTGCGTAAACGTCGGCGCATAATCTTTTTTCTTTTATTTTTAAGCATGACACTAAAAAAATCAATTTACCTGTCAATAGCTTTCATTCTATAATACCAAGAATCTTCAATTTTATTAGTTGGAACAAAAGTATACATTGTCTTGAAATTTCGCGTTAGTCTTTTTCTAATATTAACGCCATTCACAGAGCTATTGTTAATATATTCTGGCGCGTTGTCTTTCAACCTAGATTCATAAACACTGTTCATTATATTGCGAATAATATCAATTTCTTCTCTTTTTTGTGGATTATTTATTTCATGTGAAAATAGGCCATGAACAGCTTTGTGTTGTATTATTTGTATATCATTGCATCTACGCACGCATATAGCTTTCCAAAAACAAAATTGTAAATGCTGCTTAAATGCTTCATAATCTTCGTCCAGGTAAAAGTTCAAAGGACCACGTAGATCGTTTGAATCTGGGTTTTTAGTTGTGTTTTCTATAAGTAACTTGTTAACGCCATCCATGTAGTAAAGAACCAAATCTAAATTGCTGCTAAATATGTCGGTGTTAAAAAATACTTCCTTCTCGGGATCTGATACTGCAATTATTTTTTTTCTTTCTAATCTTTCATTTAGTCGCATTTGTGGACAATCTGGCTTGCATTCCGCTTTGAACTTAATAAGAAAAGGTGTTTCGGATATGATTGGTATGTGAACATGAACATGAAACGTTGATATCACGTACCTCGTAGGTGTATACGTTACCCTGACATGGACCTTTTTATCGTGTTTGGTAACTACTCCTTGTTTAGGGGCAATTGTAAAATCTGAATCGCAATTTAATACTGAAATTAGAAACATTACGTCGCATTCTTCTAAAGCTTTTATTGTTAAGATGTAACTCACTGATTTATTTATAGGTATTACACCCCAATTTATAATACTAGGAAACTCGCAAATAGCCGTACTTGCGGGACTAACATTTAACTGAAAAACAAAGTTGTACTCTCTGGTACGATCGTAGCAATTTATCCGAATTCTGTCTGTGTAGTGTCTTGCTTCTTTTGAGAAAAAAGTTACTTGTACTTTCATAGTCAAACCCGGAAATAGCCAAGAAGTTTCTTTGTACGAAATCTGAAAAAACTTTGTTTCAGGCGCCAAAACATTTACCCTCAGAGGAATTGTATGAACATTTCGAATTATGAAATATGTCATTGCAGGTTCTGCGCTATTGAACTCATATTCCAGTTTTATTTCTTGCGGTTCTAAACTAATGACGTCGGCTGACGACTCAATAAATTCTTTTTCTTGAAACAAGCGCAATATTGGTGGATGCACGTAGCATGATCCGTCCAGGTTTAACGGGCAATTTTTTAAAAACATTTTGAATATAACAAGTGAAATTTAAAAAAAAAATATAATAAAACCCAATTTGTCTTTTCCCAAAAACATAATAAACAAATGAATTTTACAATTAAAAACATGGTGTCATTTCATTGAAGTAAATGTCATTTTTTAACCTTTAAGGAAGGAGCGCATTACATAAAACTATGTCCAGTAGGTCGACGGTTTTTTAAGAAATTAAGTGCTTCATTTCCAAAGCGAGAGTATTTGCATAATTAATATCGCTTTATTGAATTTGGTTACAATGGAATTCGTCACGTCTAATCCATGTCTAATCCTTTCGACTCGGATGCCGCCGCTCCGACGGCAAAATACATATAACTCTAGCAATTCGCGAGTGGAAAGGGCTAATATTGCTTGTTGACCAATATTCAAATTTATTTTCTAACTGCATGGTGCCCATATTGAAAATTACAGAAGGAAAAGCCCGATTTTTTTTACTGATTACGTCATGCCGCGTGATCTAATATTCGATTATTTTAGAGCATATCATATTCTAATATTGTCTAGGGCCGCGAGTATGCCCATAGATAAATAAGCATAAGTATGGCGGCATGCGTTCGTTAAGGGTTTATATTTATCAAAATAATTTTATTAAAAATGAAACGGGTCAGCGGTGGCGATGTCGATCGAACGTGGGCTAGCACCAACTAGTCCCGGGTTTGCTGGTTCCATTCCCGCTACCGCCAAGACCCGACATCAGGCAACTTTGATGTCAAATTTCCACTTCAGGTTATAGATCTCAAATAAAGCCTCGAGTAACAATCGCCTCTCGTGGGTATAGTTGCATATATATATATAATAAAAATGTAAATACGAGTATAGTTAATTAGTCATAATTGGATTGTACAACGACAGGGTTGCCATCCATTCAAAAATCCGTATAACAAAGTCAAAACCATTACTGAATGTCCTAAGTGTGACAGATTGTTATCAACAAATTAAAAAAAAATGGAACACTGCTATAATAAATGATTTCGTACCAATTATCCTTCAACAAGACTTGTCATATTCGAGAAATTTCACAAATGATTTGCATTCAATACTTTTTAATTTTAAATAAAATAACAAAAACCTGTTATAACAATAAAAATAAAGTATATAATTTTTTTCATTTTATATTTAAATATATCAGGTCCATTGACAATATTTCAGATTACAAAATGTAACAATGCGCATTGTATTACTTATTATCAAAATTGAAAATAATCTGTATGTACAAGGCTTATTTGGCGCACGTATCTTGATAACAAATACCCCCTAATTATTTACATAAAATGAAATATTTACATTCTGTTAAATTAAAGTATTTATCAATAAAATAAATTAAATGAACTTAAGCTTAGTTACACATACTTAATATTTATTACAAATTTAATGGATTATTTTGCGGAACTCCATTGGCAGCGCATGAATTTTTGCCTATTGTAGCTAATTTGGTATATAAATCTAAATGCTTACCGCTTACTACATGTTTTAAATTTGCCTCTAGGCGTTCTGAAGCCTGTAAAATGGAATAAACAATTGAAAAACATATTAGCTAAAATAATTAAAAATATTATCTCATAACTTTCAATAGTCAGTGATTACCTCAAAACACCATGCTTTTGCCATGAGTTCTTCATGTTTGGCAGTAGGCGAATTTTCCTTTAACGACTTCGATGCACGAGATAGTACCACAGCCATTGAAAAGTTGTCGAATGTTGCTTGTGCTATTCTATTAAGTATAAATTGTTCATGTACGATGTCCTTTCCGTACTTCATCAGAAGTGTTTCCACAGTCTGGCCAAATAAAGCTATACCCTGATAAAGAATAAAAATAATTTGATATTTATTAATGAGGAAGCATTAGATATTTTCATATGCATATACATACATAACCGTTATTTACTTCCCATAAGCTGTTTTTAGTTACTTTATAGTTTTACCTGATTTTACATTTGCTCAAAAAATGATTAATATCAATTTTTCAAAAAAGTCTATTTGAGAAGGTCAATTGGATACCATTTTAATATAGTATAAATTGCATAAAAAAACTTAAGCCACATATATGCGTGCGTTTTGCGCAAATCATCAAATTGGCCAAGTAACTCATATATGCGTTTGGCGAAGACAGTTCGCCGAGAAACTCAATTTTAATAAACCAAATTGAATAGTTAAGGAATAAATCAACATTTTACTCATCATGTGGAAAATTTGTGTATATAATTATAATATATATGTCCAGAAATTGATTTGGAATGACAGAATTTGAGTTATATTGCCAGAAATATGCGTTGGCAATTTTCGGCAATCTTCAAACTGTTTCGTCCCCAAAGGGTTAAACAACATTAATGAATTTTATAATTTGGTAATATGGAATTAAATAGATAATCTTAACTTTACTAATTTAGCAACATGTGCTTCCAATTTTGATTACTACTCTTACCTTGGCAGCTAGTTGTGACGATTCTCCTAAATTAGGATGGACTAAATGAGCCATGTTCGGTGCTCCACCAATGCCTATGCTACGGAATGCACGTTTTGAAACTTCATCGAAAATCATACCCAAATTTGCTGCAGGGTTTTTAAATGCTTTTTGTAATTCTTTCAAATGTGCACCAGCATACTGAATTCCTGTAAAAATGATTTAAGTAAGTATGGCACACAAATTCATTTATTAGATATCACTAATTTTCAGAAATTTTTCATTTAGATAAATGAGTATGCTCTTTTTACAATTTTTATAAACTTTGCATTTAGTTTTCTTATATAGAAATAGTAAAAAACCAAACACCTTTTCAATCTTTATTTCACTTAAAGACTAACTTTCAAAAAGCTTATAAAATTTCTTATAATTTGTTATAACCAAACAATCATTTCAGACTTACCTGTTAAAGCAACAAATAACCGAAGAATATCGTTCGTTCCTTCAAAGATTCTAAAAATCCTCAAATCTCGCAGTACGCGTTCTAATCCAGCGTCTTTCATGAATCCCATACCGCCAAGAATCTGTATGGCTTCATCACACACATACCAAGCTGCTTCTGATGCAAAACACTAATGAAAGATGCTAAAAAGTTTAGCTCCAATATGTTCAAAAAATGTCTTAATTTACATATAGACTAAATGTTACCTTAGAAATAGCAGCTTCTAAATGATAATCTTCACTTTTTTTGTCCATCAATCCCGAAATCATATAAGCCATTGATTCAGTCACATAATGAACCATGCACATTCTAGCCAATTTTTCTTGTATAGTACCATATGTTTCAATCAAATTACCAAACTGTGTTCTAGTTGTAGCATGATCTGTTGCTTTTTTAATACAGGACCTCATGGTTCCACTGAGTGCAGCTGCCATTCCAAACCTTCCATTATTCAAAATATTCATGGCCACTTTGAAGCCCTCGCCTTCAACACCTAAGATATTCTCAATTGGTATCTTAACATCTTCATAGTATACTTCAGTTGTGTTAGAACACTTAATGCCCATTTTTTTCTCTGGAGGACCGGAGGTTACGCCGCCGAATTTGCGTTCCACAATGAATGCAGTAACCTGCCGAATCAAAAATCCAATTTGAATTATTATATTTAAAAAAAAATTGAATTCAAGAATCATAGCCATGCCACCCATTATAATGAAATGTATATATATATATACAGTAGAACCTCGATTATTATCCGGACCTCAGTTATACGGATTCGCGATTATCCGGACTATCAAATGTAAATTTCTTATTAAACATTGATTTTCGTTGATATCTATGTATGTATTTGTTATTTTTGATAAATACACATCATTATTCTTCATACATTGGATTATCTGGATTTTTTATTATCCAGATGCCTATCGCCAACAATTACTCTGGTTAATCGAGGTTCTACTGTGTGTATATATATATATATATATATATATATATATAACCTTATTAGCATTCTTACCATAATAATGTGACTTTAGTAGAATAATTCATGAACAGTTAAAATGGAATATGACGATTGTTTCTTAATAAATTTGTGATCAATGTTTCAATGTTTGGTAATTGATGTATTCTTTCACTTATAACAAAAATACTATTTTCTATCTTTAAATATTAGTAAAATAACCTCATCATAAATAAAAAATTTTCACTCATACCTTATCCTTCATTCCACCAGTTTTCGGATCTGGTTGAGGAGTCTGAGCAAACACTGTCATAATTTCTGCAATTCCTCCATTACTGATCCAAATTTTAGAGCCATTTAAAATATAATGTTTGCCATCTTCAGATTTAACAGCTCTAGATCTATAGAAGACATCAATACATATGTTTCAATATCATATATTAGTTTCACTTATTGTTGTTAATATCTATTTGTACAAAAAAGTCTTGAAAATTAATGATGCAATATAGTTTCCAATGAAAAAATTCTTCATTAAACTTGTATTAAAATAAGAAACGCAATACAAATATTAAACTAAAAGCAAATATTATTTACCTAATAGAATTAGCATCAGATCCTGATGAAGGTTCAGTTAAACAAAATGCAGCCACATTATGGCCAGTTGAAACCAAGGGCAAGTACTTTTTCTTTTGTTCAGGTGTTCCATACAGCAAAATGCCCTTTAAAAATGAAATGAATATAAAAAAGCATATTGAAACTCAATACGGTATAGTTAACCACATTTTACCTTAAAACCTATACTTTGATGTGCACCTAAGGTGATTCCCAAACCCAAGTCATTTGAACCTATAATTTCAGTCATTCTAGCATATTGTGTGTTGCTAAGCCCAAGACCACCATATTCAGTTGGTACTTGGAGACCAAAAGCGCCCAATTCCCACAAGCCATTCATTGTCTCTTCATCAATACTTGAAGTTTCATCATTTTTAGCTGGATTATTGACCTCCTAAAGTACACAAACTTTTTAAAATTGATATGATTTAATTAAATAACAGAAATATATAGTGTGAAAGTTTATAATGAGCTGAATTAAAACACACATTATAAATATTTATATATTCTTTTAATATAGTGACTCATTGTCAGTGAAAGAGCAGATAATGAAATACACGTAAACTTGCTAACTTGTAAATAATAGTAATAGTATTTAACTTGCCGAACACAAATAGTAATTTCCGGTTTATTTCCTTTGTTGTTATGTAAGTATTTGCTTCAGCCACTTATTCATAATTTTATGTTTCAATTATTTTTATGTTTTCAATTGATGATTTAATTAATTTACCTCAAAAAATTTTGAAGTTGGTCTATCAAAGAAGAAAGCGTTTCATGCTGTTCAGCATCTAATACTTCTGGATACGGGAACATTTGAGCAGGTTGAAGCTGTCCCCGGAAAGTGTTCATTACAAAAGACATGTTTTCCTTTTTCGATTCATTTTTGTCAGATAGCCGGCAATGTGTTGTTGAAATAAACCTGTAGAAGTTTGAGTTAAAATTAATAAGCTAATTAGATAATATAGATATTCATATGAA